GGAATGTGACAAGTTCACTGGGATCTGCATGTGCCACTCACCAGGACATAGCTACTATGTTTCTTAGCTGCAAAACGCTTTCCAGGTCTGTGACTATGGTAAACCCCTAAAAGTTTAACATGCTAAATAATTAAATGCTTCATCGCCCACACCTGTGTAATACACGTGCTTACACTGCCTCTTCCCACCGTTCAGTGTGAGGTAGTTTTCTGCCACTGCTCTCCTCAAAAGGGTGACAGGTTTACCAACCATGTCTTTGCTGCTGCCTCATATATACTGGTATTGGTATTTGTTAAACCTACACTGGCTGTATAACCTCTTCTACTTCCACAGTTGGTTGTGAGTACCCCAGGTGATTCTAGTGTATATTTGACTTAGCTGTACCACAATATGTCAGATCCTAAGCCAGCCTCTTGGTCTTCTAGCAGCTCAGTGGCAGACTGCATATCCCATGGAGGAGGAATTTTGAAAAGGAGTGGGCTGTTCCCTATTGTGGATCCAGCCATTTCTTGCCTAAAAACCTCATTGTTCCTTTTGAGGACATTGCAGGGTTTAAACACCAAATTGATAAGCATTTGGAAACTCTTTCCAAGTCCTTGTTTTCCTTAACGCTATGCTGTCATGACAATTTTCCAGACCCTAGGGGTGTGATTTGTGGGAATATCTAAAGACCCCAAATCCATCCTTAGTGATTATTCAGTTTTGGAGCATTTACAACTGATGCCTTTTGTATTACACTAGTGTGTTGATGGATACTGGACATTGTCTGTCTCTATTCCAGAATGAGTCTCCTGTCTATTCATATCCAGAGGACGGTTTGGCTAAAACAATGGTCTGCAGAACAACAATATAAAAACCGATTGCTCTGCATGACTTTACATTGAGAATGTCTCTTTAGAGCTTCCCTCAACAACTTTATCAAGGTTGTCACTGGTCGTAAAAGTGCTTTATAACAAAAGAAACCTCTGCCTTCATCTAGCAAAACTAATTCTGCCTCTGACAGCAAAAAATAGTTCTTTTCATTTCTCCAAGACCTTACAATTGGAGCCCATATTTGGGACCCAGTTAATTTATTAATCCTTGGCTCCTAAGTCCTTCAACCTGTGGATAGACATGTGCACTGCCAAAAAATTTGTTTCGTTTCGTTCCGTTTTAAATTCGGATTTGTGTTATTTCGTTTTTTGGGATTCGGGTGTGAAAGTCAATTCGGATTCGGATGACAAGTCCTCCTCATGATGAGGGGATACCCCCACTTTCCAAATATGTCTATTAGCTTTTTTCCAGACACCTTGACCAACAGTATTTCTGATGCTTGGGTAAAATACACGGTCTCCAAGGGCTATAAGCTAGAGTTTTTATCTCTGCCAATAGTTCCTGTGGTCCAATCTGCCAACCTCTCCACAAAGAGTAACAGATCTCTATGATACTTGGCATGCCTATTAGGTCAAGAAGTCCTTGCCATTGTTCCTCAAGAGGAAAGGTTTCAAGGTTTTTACCTTTTACTTATTCACTCTTCCCAAACCAAAAGGGAGCAGCCACCCTTCAGCACTCTTCCTTTGAGTGCTAAAAGTTTGCATGGAATCCAACAGGTCAATCCCCCTCCATCCAGGAGACTATCTGACTTCTGTGGACATCAAAGATGCATACTTGCATGGCATCATCTTGGCAACACATCAACACTTCTTGCATTTTGCAGTGGGAACACAACGCTACCAGTTGGTTGCCATTCCTATGTTCTGCCTTCTGCACTGAGAGTGTTCATCGAGGTTCTAGTTCCAGTACTAGCCTTGTTACGTTCACAGGGAATTCCAATAGTGCGATACATAGACAATCTCATTAAGGGAACAGTCAGAGCAGACCTTGCAAGACAAGGTCAGCCAGAGTGTCCAGACTCTATGAAGGTTCAGTTGAATCCAGAGCCTCCAGAAGTCATCACTGGAATCAACTCATTGCTTGGTATACGAGGGTCTGATCCTGAATATGACTCAATCTAGAGTTTTCCCTCTACAAGGGAAACAACTTACTCTCTGGTCCCAAATATGGACCCTCCAGTACAACTCTGTGCCTTTGCATGAGAGTTCTGGGTCAAATGGTAACTTCCTTTGAGGCAGTTCCATATGACTAACTCTTCTTCAACTCAGCGTTCTGGCTGTGTGGGACAAGATGGTAATGGACTTACCTATTTGCCTGACACTCAGGACCAGGATGTCTGTGGCCTAGTGACTCAGCGACCCAGCCCTGGAATTGATCAAGTATTTTCTTAGACTTTCCTGGAAGATCCTTACGATGGATGCCAGTATGTCAGGCTGGGGTGGCTTCCTGGACCCTTTGACAGTACAGGAACCATTGTCACCAGTAGAAGATCATCTCCCTATCATCATACTGGACCTACGAGCAATTCTTCTGTCCCTTCAATGCCAGACTCCTCAAGTTTCAGACAGGCAACTCCACAGCAGTGGCATGCATCAAGCGTCACAGAGGAACCAGAACTCTCGCTGTGGAAAGAGAAGCAAAGCATATTCTATGTGAAGCAGAACTTCAAAATCCAGTTTTGTCTGCAGTCAACATCTTACTTTTCAAGTGTGGAAAATTGGCTAGCAGATTACCTAAACGGTAAAAGGTGTTCCAAGACCTGTGTCTCAGGTGACTGAAGCATTCGATGCACTGATGGCTCTCTGGCATCAGTAAAACCTTATCTATGCCTTACCTTTTCTTATCTGCTTTGGGGGATCAAAATTGGGTGCATTTCAGTGATTCTCATATCACTGAACAGGCCCAGAAGCATGTGGTACATCGACTTTATTAGACTCCCTATGGGCTCTTCCAGATTGTCTGGATCCTGTGTCCCAAAGGCCAGTTACACTGCTTCATAGTTGATGGCTTTAATGACATAGCTGTTGAAGCCTAGGTCCTAGAAGGGGTCTTTCTGGCTCAGTCATTCATATACTCCTGAAAGCTAAGAAGTTCTCATTATGCAAGCTCTACCATCGCACACATTGCCTGTTGCAGAGCAAGAAAATGTAATCCCCAGGAATACTCCCTGGAATGAATCGTGGCTTTTCTCCAATTCAGCCTGGAAAAAAGACAAATTTCTGCTCTTACAATTTTGTTCCAAAGACATCTTGCTGCACATTCCCTCATCAAGGCTGTTGTACAACATGTAACTCACATAGTTCCACCTGCACAGTCTACAGTGACTCTGTGGGAGCTAAACCTGGTTCGCTCAAAAACTGCCAATTGAAAGAGAGATAGCAGAGATAACCCCTTGTCTACTCTCACGCATAAAGTGGCTTTCTTTATTGCCATTATCATTATCTTCTAAAGAACCTTTTCTTATCCTTCATAATGATAAGGTTATCTTAAGGCCCAGAACCTCTTTTTTCCTGAGGTGGTCTCTACTTTTCACCTTAACAATGACACTGTCCTTCCATCTCACTATCCTGCTCCAGTTCAACATAAGGAGATATGCCTCCATCGCTTGGATGTGATTATAGCTGTTCATCGTTACCTCTCAGTCAGATCTTCTCTCAGATAGACTGAGGGGTCTATTCACAAAGCTGCCGAAGGATCTGGCCGTAGCTTCGGCCGATCCTTCGGCTGGCTTCGGCCCCAGGACCCCTTCGGTTCAGGAGAACCGAGGGGGTGCTGTACGGGCTATTCACAATAGCCCGTACAGCTCCCGATCACGGCCGAGCAGCTCAGTCGAGCGCTGAGCCGTGCTGAAAGCCGAAGCTGGCCGAGCGGCCGGCCATTGGCCGGCCGACAGCCTGCTTCTGACAGCTGGGCGGAGCCAGCTGTGATCTTACGGCTGGCTCCGGCCACTTTCAGAGAGATCAGCGTCCTGTCTCTCTTTGTCATTCCGGAAAGTCCCTGTAAAGTAGAGCCTGTTTCTTGTGTCACTATTTCCCAGTGGCTCTGGCAGGTCGTTTTTTAAGCCTATCAGCTTAAGGATAAGGTTTCACCTTTTCCATTCAAGACCCACTCAATGAGATCTGTCAGTGATTCCCAATATTTTCTAAGTTCTAACAGCTGGAAATTCAGGCATCTTCAGATGCAAGCTTTGGGAGTAGGGATCTACAGACAGCTCTCCAAGCTTGAGCTTTTAGCGATGTGTTCCTGTGTTGCTCCCCTTAGCTGGGCTGCTTTGGGTTGTCCCAATATTCATGACATCTACTGATCCTGTGCCCTTTGATGAACAATTAAGAAAACATGATTTTTGTACACACCATAAAATCCTTGTTTGGAGTTTACCAAGTTCCACCCCTTCTGTGTCCCTTGATGAACTCCAATAAAATGATTTTTCATGGTAAGTACAACAATTCTAATTTTGGTTTATCAGACCACAACACTTGTTTCCAAAATATGATTAATTTGCATGTTGTTCTGTGAGTAGATCACAGGTAAGGTTTCCTTTTGCGGACTCTTCCATGCTGTTCATATTTGTACAAGTAAGTCTGCACAGTGGGCTAGTGTACCACTATTACTATGTCTGCTAACCCTTTTGCATTGATATAAGGCCTTTACCATTTATATGAGGACTTTGCCATCAATGTGGGTGCTTTGATTTGCATGCATGGCCAGTTTACATAAATTATCTTCAGAGCTTTCCTTGGTTTCCCAACCTCGCCTTAACCTCTTTAATGACATTATGAATAGCAGAAACTGCAAGCAGTATTTTATATATACAGTATATGTTCTTATAGTCCTCCCTTGCTGTTTATAGAATCCATGGCTATCTAGTATAAGCACAAGTTATGAGAGGTTCCAAAGCCTTAAGAATTCAAAATTTTCTAGAATTGTTTTCAATACATGTGGATGTATTGAAAGACTTTAAATGTCAACTGATTTCAGTAAAGAGTAACACTAGTATATTGAATGGGAACTTTTATACATTCCCTATTCTATACCATCTGGCAAAACAGAGTTGTACTGATAATGCGTTGATGCTGCACTAGATTCTGGAGTAGAGAAAGTAATCTTGACTATTCTTTTCACTACAGGTGGAGAATGATGAACAAGTGTTGGCGACATTCTGTGGAAAGGAAAACACAGACACAGAACAAGCTCCTGGGAAGCAAGTAATCACATCCCCTGGAAACTTTATCAGCCTAACTTTTAGGTCTGATTTCTCAAATGAAGAACGATACACTGGCTTTGATGCTCACTATAGTGCAGTTGGTAAGGTCTCTTTAAATATAAAACTAGCTATCATAAATAATATTTATGGTTTACCTCTTGCCATTAAAGTGTTAGCATACCTAAAAATGTTCAGTTTTGTATATGTAGTATGTTGGTGGATTCATTCATCCACAATATTTTCTCAGCAGGGGCAGGATCTTTATTCCAGTTTTGAAGTTCATGAACTTGTTGTAAACATTATGAGGGACACTTAGGGGTCTATTCACGAAGCTGCCGAGGGCAGCCGAGTGAATGACCGATCTGAAGTGAAGTGAGCCGAACACTGTTCAGCTATTCACTTCAGGCTGGTACGGCTAATTTCAGCCGTACATCGGCTGAAATCAGGCGTACATCGGCTTGCTTCGTGTGGCTTCGGGTGGGCCGAACATGCTCAGCATGTTCGGCCGACCCGAAGTGCAGAAGGAGTTCGACTCAGCCATCCAACATCTGGATTGGACACAGCTGTGTTTCCCTCCTTGGCGGCCTGGAGCTGGAGACTGCCGGGGCGCCACGGAGAGTTTGGAGATCAGTGTCCCTGGTTAGTAGGTAACCAGGGACGCTGATCTCACTGCAAGTGGCCGGAGCCAGCCGTAAGATCACTACCCCTTACTCTGCTTGTTGGATTTTTAATTTATATTCCATTAAAAAATGCAGTAAAAAATAAGGCCATGCCTGCTGCCTGTGTGAGAATATATGGTGGAGCAAAGAATTTCAGCAGGGAGATTTTATCTTTATGGTTAAACAATTACAAATTTGCCCTCACTGAATCCATGTATCCTATTAAATGTAACATGGATTATTGGGACTTACTGTATGTTAGTCTTATTTACATTTCTAAACAGAATGTTTACTATATGTATCCTATTATAATTAGAGATGAGCTTAGGGTTCTGTTCGAGTATGAATTTGACCAAACTAAGAAATAAACAGTTTGTAAAAATGGTGAACTGATTTATGCCATAGGAGCCAATTAGCAATCATGCATTTCCTGGTCTTTGAACTGTGGTCAGGTTGCTTAAAAGGGCCAGTAATGGGGTTTTTCTTTTGTGCCAGCCCACTTCCTATAAAACTCAGGGTTAACAGTAGCCTTTTGTCAGTGTGTGTTGAGACTTGGAGTAGATAGGGACAGCTAACAGAATGTTTTCAGGCAGAGAAAGTTGCAGCTATACGTTGCTATACAATGCTATATAGACAGAGTCATACATTGCTATATATAGTGCTGCATGTGCTACATTACAGTGAACTGCAGTGTGGTGGGTTACATGGTATGTCATGTATCCCCTGTATTTACTACTGTATTGTGCTATATTACTGTGAATTGCATTGTGTTGGGTTAAATATGATTGTGTTACCACTCTTTGTCTTCTTTTTGTGTGTGTGTCAGCAACAACTTCTGCTCCTTTTTTTGTGTTTTTTTTTCTCAATGCCAGCTAGGCAAAATTGCTGTATAGCTGTTCCCATTCCAGCTGGTGCAGTCTGCCCCCTTCTGTGACTTTATTGTGCTTCGTATATACACAAAAGTTCCATGAGGCACGTAGTTTAACAAACGAGGCCTATGGCATATGCGGTCTGTAAAATAATCCTTCTATTGTAAAGTGGAACGCCAGGAAAACAAACCTTTTTTTACTTTTGATTGGTACAACTATGTTACCTCTAATGCTGGATGTATTACATCTAGATGGCTGCTGGGGATGCTAAAAATCGTTAAGTTCTGGCGTTCATAAGGTGAAGAAGAGATCAGTTCACTCTCATTCGCTATCCCCTCATTCATTCATTCATTCATTCTTTCATAAAATGTCTTGTTTTCTCTTCACAGTTTGTTATGCAGATTTGCATTAAGTTTCATTCTGTTCAGAAACATCTATATGCACCATTTTTTAGCATCATGTGTATGTGTATCATTTATCATCAAGTTGGCCATGCACCTATAGATTATCTGCAGATTGTCTATGGACACATAGAAAAAGTGCAACAGATTCCTCCATCTACCCTAAACTGTGTGGATGGAGGAATCTCCCACTGAGCTCAACTTCAGTATCTTGCTAGTCGGCCACGCTGGCTGTCAAAATACCTGAACAATCTGATTGGATGAAGGCATTGTTCAGGTATTTTGAGAGCCAGCGGGGCCAACTAGCAAGATACTGAAGCTCGGCCCAGTGGCAGATTCCTCCATCCACACAATTTAGTGTAGATAAAGGAATCTGTTGCCCTTTTTCCATCTGACCATAGAGAATCTGCAGAAAATCTATAGGTGTTTGGCCAGCTTTAGGCTAAGATCACACTTTTTTTATGGTGCATTTTGTTAATGCACTGAAAAAAAATTCAGATGTACCCCAACGTCTAAGAAAATGGGCATGCACCTTTTTAGCAGAGCCCCACATTGCACGTTATTGGATTGCTATGTGTTGCCTTGCTGTGCAATGCACATCTCTCAGCAAGGTGTGTTCAGAATCAATAACACTGCATTGCACCAATGCAAGTAACATGCATTGCCACACTCTAAGGTAATACATACATTAACACATGTGTTCCTGCAATGCAATAGTGCACACCAAACCTAAACAAAGTATTCAATGTCAAACATTTCAGACATTCTATTACAACTAAACTGTGAATGTACGGTATGTTCTGTTTGTACAGGTGATATGTAATCATTACTTTTTTCTAATATTTAATGCAGATGTAGATGAATGCATGGAGGGAAATGATGAGGATATGGTGTGTGACCATCATTGCCACAATTACATTGGTGGATTCTACTGTTCCTGCAGATTTGGCTATCTCCTGCACTCGGATAACAGGACATGCAAAGGTGTGACATAACAATTGTATGAATTTGTTTTTATAATGTGGTTTAATTGTGAATCGGCCAAAAATGCTGTGTCTATTCAAAAGTAGTAATCTTCATTGCTTTCAATACATTCTATCATTGCAAAAAATACAAAAGTTCCAGGTTTATCAAAAGGCCAAAGGCAGCCAAGTGAATAACCGAGCCGAAGTAAAGGGAACCGAACCCTGTTCGGCTACTAACTTCAGCCGTGTACAGCTTATTTCAGCCATACAGCGGCTGGCTTCGGCTCCCTTCTATTCCATGAGCCGAAGTGAAGAACCCATTTGACTAACCTGATCCAACATCTGCCATAGGGGCATATTCCAACATATTCTCATAGGGGCCGAACAGCAGTAAGTGAATAGCAGAATGCTATTTTCTCTTAGTTTCCAGTGTATTATATATTTTAAAGAATTTGTGATTGTCATATAATATTTCGATGTTAGTGTTCCCACTGTTACTATGGGTTTTACTATATAATGTCTGAGTTTGGTGATGCTTACCCATACTTTTGAAGTCTCTATTCTCCTTTTTTCTTATTTTTTTGTTTTAATGTGATTACATGGACTGTTTATTAGATATAGGTGTCCCTAAGTGTTTGTTCATGTCCTGTGTGGCATTCTATTTTGGTGGGGTTGGTGTTGGTTCACAACCAGCTATGACTAAGGCCGGGTAAGGCAGAAACACGTAAGGGTTTTTTTTTTTAAAGATGCATTTGATTTTCTTTGGAAGAGCACCATGTTCTGGTTCTGCAGTTTTTGGATGCAGTCTGGCCCTGCATCACCTGTTTTCCATATTCACATTCTCATCCACAACTGTAGGTCCTAAAGCCATGAAAGTAATTCTGCAGAGATTTAATACTGGTCTATGAGACATCATACTAATGAGTAGTCAAATCAGAGGAAGGATGGTTATTACCAATGCTTTTCTTGATTCAGACTTAATGCTCACCACTATGCAGAAAAATAATGAACTAGCAAAGGAGTATACAAGAAGAGCAGAAACCTCTGGTCTTATACAAAGATGCATTGTTACCCACTGACTATTACCTTTAAAGTTGAACTCCAGGCAAACAGCTAAATATGCAGATGAAATAATACTGTATGTGGGAGCTATTTTATCTGCAAAAATATTTGCCTTGCTGTCCATCTAGTACTGATACTTACAGCATATCCATGTTTTGCAGCATTGAAACACAGCAGACTGGCTCCTTGCTGCTTCTTCCTTTCCCGATCTAAGCTCTGCTGTACAGGGCATTGCAATAAGTTAACACCAGGTCAAAGGCTTGCATTTCTCAAATACATTTAATAATGAATTAATTAATACGGAGCTGCATTCATCTGTGTCTTTTATATCTGTCTGGAGTTCAGGTCTAATGCTCTATCCATACCTGACATTTTAGCGCTGAATGTGCACTGATTCACCTGCTGGTATCTTATATCACTCAAAGGCTCCAAAGGCAAAATTGCTATTTCAGACACCTACCAGTCAAAAAGTGTAAAGTGTCTTACAGCTAGACCCTTCAAGGATTCCCCAATAATTTGTTAATTCTGAACTATATTGAAGACTTAAGGGGCATGTGACACCATCATCATGCTTTGTAACAACAGTGAAAGTCAGTCAGAAATGGAAACCCTTGTTGGGATATCTTGAAAAAATATATGCATATCCAAAATTGCATTCAGTAAGAGGCGATTGGCTTTTACTTTTGGGTAGAGTTAAAAAACATTTTAAATTCAAGCCATGCAACATATGCCAGGATCAGCAAAATCTAAACTGACAAATTAGCATACGTTGATGTTATTTAGTCATTTAACATCATTGTGAAGAGTTATTGGAAAAGTGTTCAATATGATTGCCAAAGTAGTACTGTAATCATTTTACACAAATTATTAGGATTTAATGGGAAATTTTAACCATTTTAGGTTCATTTTATTACATTTTTTTTTACAATATATATTGTATTGTTTTACAAATACATGTTTAATATTTTACAAATGATTGCCAGAACACTATCTGTTAGCAAAAGAAACAGCACAGCAGATGAAGTTTGCTTAGAGGCTCTATTTGTATGACTGAAACCTCAAAGTCTAAAAATGAATGAATTAATGAATCACAGAAGTCTGTAAACAACACCTGCCAGCTGGATAGAAGATTACATGACAATGTAGTGTTTAATATTTATCTGAGATATACCTGACCTGTAAAGAAATAAAATATGTAGAAACCTCTATACATTCCCTAATGTGTAATACTTATTATTGTTCTATACAGAAAGGAAATATTTGGGTATATTTTTTATAACTAAATTGTCCCTGGAGTTTGAATAATAACAGTTTGTAACATACTTCCACACATCTGGCAGTTTCTTTCATTGCTCAAAAGTGTTTTTGCGTTTTATTACCATCTTCTCTTCCCCAATAAGCAAATGTCCTAAACTACCTGTGGTAATGACACTGGCTTTGCTGTTGTTATAAATTATTATATATGTATTTATTTATTTATTTACAGTGGAATGCAGCGATAATCTGTACACACAAAGGAGTGGAACAATTGCAAGCTCAGATTATCCTAATCCATATCCCAAGAGCTCTGACTGCTTGTATAGAATTGAGCTGGAGGAAGGATTTGTGGTCAATCTTCAATTTGATGATAGCTTTGATATTGAAGACCACCCAGAAGTGTCTTGTCCTTATGATTACCTAAAGGTACAACATTAGTTCTTGCTGTGTTCACATTTCTATCTTGGCAATATCTCTGGTTGACAGATTAAACCTACAGTATAGTATGTATGGATTGGTGAAATTAAGGGGTCTACTCACTAAGCTGTCGTAGGCAGCCGAGTGAATGACCGACCTAAAGCGAAGTGAGCCGAACGCTGTTTGGCTATTCACTTCAGGCTGGTACGGCTGATTTCAGATGTATATATCTGCTGAAATCAGCCATACATCGGGTGGCTTTGGGTCGGCCGAACATGCTCAGCATGATCGGCCAACCCGAAGTGCAGAAGGAGTTCCACTCAGCCGATCCAACATCTGGATCGGCTAAGCCGAACCTCCGGCTGAGCGGCATTCGGCTCGGCTGTTCAGCTCGGTCCCTCTGTGGGACCGAGCAGAACAGAAAATAAATTATTTTCTTTTTCTATTCTGACACGGCTATTCTGGGAACCAGGGACGCTGATCTCTCTGCAAGTGGCCGCAGCCAGCCGTAAGATCGTGGCTGGCTCTGTCCAGCTGTCAGAAGCAGGCTGTCGGCCGGCCAATGGCCGGCCACTCGGCCAGCTTCGGCTTTCGGTGCGGCTCAGCCGAGCCGAGGCATATGCGTTCGACTGAGCCGCTCGGCCAAGTTCGGGAGCTGTACGGGCTATAGTGAATAGCCCGTACAGCAGCCCTTCGGTTACTGAACCGAAGGGGTCCTGGGGCCGAAGCTAGCCGAAGGATCGGCCGAAGCTACGGCTAATAAGTTTTTATTTTCCCAAAATTTCCCCCAAAAATCAGGCAATTTCAGCAAAATTTTGCCATTTTTGCAGAATGAAATAGAATCAATAGGGAAAATGACATTAATCTAGTTTGTGGTGTTTTTACTCTTTTGCACCAAAAGAGTAATCTATAAATGCCATTTAGGTACTAATAACAAATATGTCAAGAAAATGCAGTTTCTCAAAAGCTCTCAAGTTGCTCAAACTCTCAATGAACAAATGATAATTAATATATACTGTTATAATTTGGAGTAGTAGTCTGTTTACAAAGGAATTATTTAGTTTTGATGAAAGTTTAGGTTAGCTATTATGAAGATCTGAAGGTATGAAATAGCAACAGCAATATCTTCCTATCTCTTCCCCTTGCTAAACCTAATGGTGTGTCTGGCAATGTGCTGGAAGAGTCCCTACTGAAGTAAAAAAAACATGACAGCATGTATTCCTTATAGGCAGGACTTTATTTTTATTTTTTACAAAGGCTTTATTTTTACAGAAAATGTTCAAGAACAAGTTACAGAAAAGTATAAACAATAATATAAATGGATAACAAAGAAAAGAAAAAGGCTCCGCTGTATAGGGGCCCCCAAAATAGTAAACAATACAGCACTGTGCAGAAGTCCTGAGAGGTACAAGGAAATAAAGCCAGCATAGTTTCCATATCATCAATAAATGCAACACATGTATGCTGAGGCAAGTGTAATAAAGACTATCGGATCCCCACTATGCGGGAAGAGGAAATCAAGTTAATTAACAGAGAGAATGAAAAGAAGGAAAAGAGAAGAAAGAGAGATTTTTAATCTACACATTTAGACTAAATAAGAAAAAAAATCTTGCCATTGTGTGACTTGTGTCTCATTAGATCAAAGCTGGAAAAAAAGAATTTGGTCCAATATGTGGAGATAAATCACCAGGAAGAATAGAAACGGAGAGCAACAGTGTCCAGATCTTGTTTCACAGTGATGGCTCTGGAGAAAATGGAGGATGGAAGCTGTCCTACTCAGTCACAGGTAGGACTCCTTATCTATTTTGATGTTCTTTATGTTTCAGCTCTAGAGAGCTTTTCTAAAACAACAACATGAGTAGCCTGTTGTCAAATCAAATAGTCAAGTGTTGTAATCATGATAAGCTAGTTTTTGAAAGCAGTTAACAAAAAGTGAAGGAATCATCAAATTACTGGAACTTGTCATTTTAGGAATTTCATGCCCTGATCTCCAGGAACCCTTAAATGGAAAAATTGAGACTTCTCAATCAAAGTACACTTTTAAAGACCAAGCTGTGATTACATGTATCCCTGGCTATCGAGTTCTAAAGGTGGGTAGTATTTATTAAAACCTTCATTTAAACACTTCAATAATCCTGTAGATCAGTGGTTAGTGGAAAAATAAAATGTAACTTCAGCCAAAAGATATTCTTTTAATTTTGAGTAGGGCCTTTCAGAGAGATTTTTACTTACGTCCTGCCTATGACCACTTTCACTGGGACAGGAAATGAGGGGAGTCTTCCCAGTGTGGACAATGACAACAATAAAATAAACTGACACAGGTTTTAATCTTCCCCTGCCCTACTAAACAACTGTGTTTCTGTTGCTGCTGTGTTTTAGGTGCACCAATTTTCCTTCATTCTTTGTCTCGGTGGCCACCATCACTGGAGATTAGTGGTTGGAAAAATAAAATGTAACTTAATCCTCACCATATTCTTTTAATTTTGAGTAAGGACCTGATGTATGTGGGAGAGATTTCCACTTACGTACTGCCCTAGGGACCACTATCACTGGTACAGGAAGTAAGGGGAATCTCCCATTGTGGATGCAAACAAACAAATTGACAGAGGATCTAACCTTTCCCTGCCCGACTAAAAAAAATTGTGTTTCTGTTACTGCTGTGTTTCTGGAGAATATATTTTCCATCACTCTTTGTCTCAGTGGCCACCATCACTGGAACCAGAAGTGAGGGAGAATCCTCCTCAATGAGAAAAAAATGAACAGAAGTTGTAAGCAATCTTCATATAAAGCCAACCTTGGCTAGTGTTCCACTTATTTATTATAAATAATCATAAGATATTAGCCATGTTCCCAGACTGCAGAGCCTAATAAATGTAATTGGCATGTTTATAAGCTATTGCTGTAGCATTTAAATAGGATTGGCAGCCATTATTTCTTACATACAATTTAATAAGTTCATTGACTCTTCTGTAAATAAAGGATCGGGATTTAGTCTATACTTCTTTATTTAAATTGAACTAGGAATTAGGTAGATTTTTTTAAATGTGCTTATCGCCTTCTGTAGATAATATTGAGATGACCTATCAGTACGGTTTAACAGTCACTCTAGAAATGTGTTAATCTTTTGTGAGTATGAGTCAGGGTTATTCAGGACTAGTGAAGAGCTGGGGTTCGGTCCAAACTTCAGTTTGTCTGAGCCTCTATGAAAACTGTCAGTGCTGGCCCAGCCAGTTGCAGCCACGACATTCCCTATCCTGCAGCTGCATGGAAACAAAAGGATGGGATACTGGTGACATCACTGATTTTATATTACCACATGGCAATTTTGGTCAATGACACTGACCTAACATGGTCATGTGGCTATATATAAGGTTAATAATGTGACCAGCATCCCAGCCCCTTGTTTACATGCAACTGAGGGGCAGGGAATGCCCTGGCCACAGCTGATTGGTCCAGCACTCGCAGCTTCCTTTCAGGTTCGAACTCAAGTTCAGACAGATCCTGATCTCATACCTATTCAGGACTACTCAGCATTGCTGTGTCTACATTTTCAAAACATTTTAATTTTCATTGTCATTCTTAACTAGGACAATGTTGAGATGGACAGTTTCCAGATTGAGTGCAAGAAAGATGGAACATGGAGTAACCAGGTGCCAAGATGCCAAAGTAAGAGACTGCAGGTTTTTCATTGACTTCATATACTGCCTTATAATGCTTGTTTTAACCTGTAAAACTGGACAGTATGCGGTATGATGCAGTACAGAGATATCCCAGTTTATATACTCACCTTTGCATTCTAAGAAATTGTGTTTTTTTATAGCAATCAATCAGATCCTTTCGGAGCTGATCAAATAATATCCATAGATACTTTTTTTCCGCTAGCAGTTTTTTAGTGCTACATTTGTTTACACCTATTTTTTTGTCTTCTGTGCCTTTTTTTCTTTTGCTGTCTAAAAGAAAGAAAATTCTTTAAAGTTTTATGTCATCTATACTCTGGTGGTGGATTTTCTGCATGTATCCTGTTTGCATGAATTCTAATTTCCCTTTCCTCTTTTTTCTCTCTCTTTCTAAAATCTACAATTTCCCTCTTACTCCCCCCGTTCTTACAAAACTGCAGAGATGGATTTCAGGATGAGCTGAAGACTGGAATATGAACAAGCTGCCGCTGGCCTATTATCATAGGCCTCAGTGTTTCAGAACAATTTGTACACCTCTTATAGTAACAGCACAAGACAAAAGTGTGTCACAACAAGCTACCGAAGGTTTTCCCGAAAAGAGTGTGGCCCTGCAAAAAGCAGCCAGCTCCTGCTTCAGCTTCAGCCCGTTGCTCCCATTAAATACTCACAGCACATTTGCCAGAGGAAGCAATTATTATTGAATAGCCTGGACAGTCTGTCTGCTGACTGACTATCCTAATAAAGTGCCATTTGCATATCCCTAGCATGATCTTTAGTATTCAAACAGCTTTCCTTCTGATAAAGACTGAAATATTTTTCCAGGCACATTGACAGTAACCGTGTCTCAGAAAATACCTTATGTGTCTTTAGGATAATTTGAAACCTTTTTGGATGTACTGTATATTATTTAATAACATGCAGACAGTAATGGTGTGCAGTAGTTGTGGGCTTTTTCCCGCACACTATTGCCATTGGTACAAACTCTTTTTTTATGTTACAGTATTATAAATGGTAATATTTTGGGTTCTTATTTTATTTTATTTATAAGATATAAACACACTATATGTTGCATATTTTTGTTCTTATTTATCGGTAATTACAGATATTGGCACAGTTTAAACCTGTAAATAGTTTGCATTTCTATGTATCCACTTCATACACTAAACAACAGTTGCACAAAACAATTGAGATCTGGGGACATAGAATGTGAATAAAATATCACTTTGAATAAATCATTTAAAATCAACCAAATATTCGCAAAAATGTATATACTAAATACACTGAGGCTTCAACATTTGTAGAAACAATACTTACAGCTTGTAGTAATAATATATCAAATATGTATTTCAATTTTTGGAGCAAAGTCATATACGTCTTATGTGTTTTCATACACATGGCGCATGGTACTGTGGAAAACGGATACCTCCCAATATCAGGTGTGGACCCAGAAGTATTCTTCAAGCTGTGATGAAAAGAGACCACAATGCTACCATACCCGTTAGTGAGATATAGCTATAGCAGTAAGTGAGCCAAACTTGTATGTAGAGTTCTCCCCAGAGATCACACGCACAGTTTTACAATTACTGAGTGGGCATGTGATGGCAAGAACCAAAAAAAAGGTTGTTACTGGCTGGTCAAACACATAGCATGCTAATGACCTAAAGAAACAGCTTGGTTGTGTCAATTGCTTAATTACCAAATGACAAATAGATAAATGGATAGGGGTTGTTCACACCTAATCCAGTGCGGTGCGATTGCAAAAAATAGTGCACCACGGGCATTGCTGTGCCACGTGTTCTGGTGCAGGCGATCAAAGGGAGGCTTAATTATGCGATCCAGTGCGTTCCAGCCAACGCACTGGATTAGGTGTGACAAGCCCTTATGTTGTAGATATAAAGAAAAGCAACAGTATGTCCAAAAGAATGATGCTTTAATACAGGCACTGGTACCTTGAATGTTCATGTGCAAAATAGTAAAATCCACTCACAAAGTATCATTGCTAATGGAAATGGCAGTAGGATTCAAATATATGCTAAATTGGAAGCAACCCAAAGTTGTATTTAAAGGAACAGAGATTGCATGCACAGATATAATACTTTCATATTGGTATCTTTATACCTCCCAATTACCCCTCATTTGGAGGCACTGTCCCTCTTTGGAGCCAAATCCCTCTGTCCCTTTTTTCTCCTCAGTTGTCCCTCTTTTAGGTCTGATGCACAGATATCTATGAAACTGTTCTATTTCACTACAAAAGTTATTCTGCACCAAAACCTTAATCCTATCTCTTAAATATTGTGTTTTCTATTTTAAAGAGCCAGTGTAATGAAAAGTAATAGTGTAAAACAATAATTCTAAATTTTACCAAACTTTTTGGTCATAAAAAATCCATAACTACTGGTGTGGCAGGGGTGTGTCTATTACCTAATACATTGTGCTGTAAGGTATGTATCTTGAATGTCCATGTACTGGTAAAGCTCAGTCACAAAATCGGTAATGGAAACCACAGCTGGATTCATTATATGTTGAAAAGGAGACATTCCCTACAAACTGATCCTACTGCATAAAGCATGGAATGTGGATATGGACACAAGTAAACCTCTGCCCTGTGTGCTCAGTAGTGTTTAGACATACTCAGACAAGCTCCCGGGAATAATGCATTCATATATAACTGCTAGTGTAGCTTGCATCCACGTGCTGGCACAGCCTGGTCATAAAGTGTTGTTGGCAATAATACCACAGTAGATGTGTATAGGACGAGGAATACCTCCTTCAGATAAATCCTGCTTCATGTAGCACAAATGCTGATATTGATAAGTAAAGCTCAGTCTTGTATACATAGCAAAGTGCAAATGCACTCAAATATTCAGTATCACCAGAATATAGCTGAATCTTGGCAAAAATATTATACACTCAGTAAAATGCACAATATGATGAATTTGGATGGATCTCAACCACCGCTGGTGTTACCAATGGATCCATGTAAGCTGTGGGTGGCCAATGGTCTCACATGGCGGCAGTAAAGAAGGGAGGAAAGCCTGGTTGAGCACTCTGGGCCCTCATAAAATGTGGGGGCCTGTTAAGACTATTTGCTGTTTGATATATTATTACTTTGGGTTGTAGTTTTTCTTTTAAAGATTATATTTATTTGAAACATTTTTAGGTTAAAAAATACAAAAATAGAAAAAGCAATGCACACAAACAACGAAGGGCCAAAACCCATGTATCTCCAGAATACTTTGTACCAATGATAACAAGAAACACAGGTCAATAGTATACGGGTAAAGCATTGTTAAGGCAAAGGTGATTGATAAATGTAATGCAAGTGAACACTCCAGCCCAAATGAATAACTAAAAGTGACCATAATAAACCTGTCTGGCAGTACCCAAGTAAATACATGAGAAGGAAACGGCCCAACAATAGGAAAGGAAAAAAGGGAAATGAGGAAGATAAAGAAAGAAGAAAGAGGGTGCGATCACCAGCCCTGGGTCGCCCTAAAGAGACACCCCGCACAAAGAGGCATTGAGTTAAACAGTCAAAAGACTACAAAATTGATCAGTAGTACAGACGTGTAACCAGAGGCTCCAAGTAACATAACATTTTTAATTGCGTTGATAAAGTTCCGGGCTTTAGTTTTTTTATGCAACCTGTGCTAAGACCTCAGCATGTTTTTATAAATTTACGTGCATGATTGCTTGATTTTAGGAGGTTCTTTAAAAGTGATATTTTATTCACAGTCTATGTTCCCAGATCTCAATTATTGCTATTGCCATACATTTGACGTGTATTCAAATAAAATAATTAAAATACAAGGTAAAATGAAGACTAGCTGTGTGAAATTCATCCATTAATACCATATCTATATTTGCATTTGCCCTGAAATTAAATCATGTGCCTACTGAAAACAATGTTGTTCCATTTACCATAACATGCCTTTACTTGGTACTAGTCAGATTACATATACTGCTTGCCCCCAATTGATTTAAAATAGTTTTATATGCGGTAATCCCATAAAGTAACCCTAACAATGAATGTTTTCTTATTTGCTACCTTTTCTTACCTTGATTTACAGAATAATTAGTATCTATGTTGTAAAGATAACAACTAGGCAGGGCTAGCCTGCTCAGTCTACAAAAATGCTTTGTGCTGTCAGCGCACAACAGGACCAAGGAGCTGAGTGTTATGGCAGGTCATCAGGAATTTTCTGTATTTTCAGGGTCTTTAGAAGGAAAACATATTAGAAAATGTGGATGTATTGCAAAGATGTACTGAATATGTTTTTTTTTTTTTTTTTATGTATTTATTTTTGCCCTGACATACACTTTACATGGCTGTTGAACCACAATGATACATAGTGATCCAGCTCTTCAAGCACCAACGACCTATGCCAGTTTAAGACTGCAGTGTAGACTGAGCTTCTTTCTGAACATGCAGGTATTTAAGCTATTTCTACAATATTAGGAGATGAAAACTGGGAAGAAAGGGACAGAGCTGAAACTGAGAAGCTTCCATTAATTTCATACCCCTCTACGCCCGTAGATATTGATTTTGTGCAGTGTCATTGAGGCTTAAGACCTCCCATGTGATTTGTAATTTTTGAGTGATTCAGGAGAAATTAGAGTCCGACTTATCAGAAGCAAGACTAACGTTTAAGCAATACCCTTCCTAGGAAAACCCTGCTAACTAATTTGAATATATGTCAAACAGACAAAGTGAAACAAAACTCTGCTGTTCAAGTAGAGATTTTATGCCAAAAGTAATAAAGCAGACTCACCTCTTGCCAATAAATTAAAATGCTTCAACACATACTCTCCTTCCTTCTAACTTTAAACTAGAACCAGTCCCAGCCCTAGCAACCCAATTAAAATTATAGAAGATTGTAAGTAGGTTTTTAGTTGGCGTGTATTAGAGCAATAAAGAACAAGGAGAGCAAGATTTCACACCCCAAATAGATTGACTAGAAAGAAATGCGAGGAGTAGATTCCACTTTA